ATTTCTTTATCCTTGTTTGGCAACTGTTTAATATGAAATTAGAAAAAAAAGGGAGGTCTGGCGGTAATTTTCCAGCATACCTGAGTATAGGGCCAAGCTGCAGAATATGGAACAATATTCGAACCGCCCAGCGAGACGCTGAGGCCCTGGGCACATTTTCGTTGTCTGCATCTTTGACGTACCTGCGGAAATGAATCAATCAATTAAAATGCAGTGTTGCTGTTTGACTATTCAGGACAGATGTCAGGCAATCTAGGGAAAGAAAGAGAAGCAGAAAAAAAAAACATAATACTCACCAGTGTAAGGAAACTCCTGTCATTACAAAGGATGGAACACAGATGAAAACAACTGTAAATGAGAACCAGATGGTGTCACCATGCTGCCAGTGCTTGTAAGCTGTGTAGATGTCAAACCCCTGTAATGAATCAAAAAGGGAAAAACCATTATGTATTATTCACTTGATGAATATCATGTATATATATGTATTTATATATAAATAATATACTTATATATTCATCAAATACATATATATTTTTCCTTCTTTCTTTCTTTCTTTCTTTCTTTTTACAGTACCGAACAATGTGTACATTTGTTACCACATATCATCATATGTAATCAACTCCTGAAAACATATGAAAAAGATGAAGTCTTTATACCAGAGTTAAACAACTATTTTAAATATCATTTGACAAAGAATAATTATGAATATTTTTTAACCAAGTATACCATATCTTATATTTTTTCCTATCAATGCCAAGAAGTGACGGGGCTGTCTTGATGCTTTGTGTAGCCTTCACTAGATTCTTCAAACTACAATACATAATGCAACATAGCAAAAGGTAAAGTCTGCAAGGTTTGGCAGAAAACTCTTTTTCATACTTTTGCAAATAAACTGAAAAGAGAAATGCATGGGAAGCAACTTAAATAACTGGTCTAGTATGGCACAACCTCAAGCATGACCGCTTGAATATAGTAAGCCGATACTTTGACCAACCTGATGGTGTAGTAAGCCTCGTTATAACACAGTGCTGATTTGACAAGCATTTGCAAGAAAAGCTGATCTTTATAGAGCATCATAACACAGCTGATGATCTGCATTTTTTTTATACATGGTCATAATGACTAAACATCAACCGATATAAAAACTCTGCATGAATTTGCTAAATGATCATTAATCAAAGATGTGTACATCCTTTTCCAGCTAATATCAGATATATTCAAACTTATAAGTCTTGTACTCTCATTTCTGTTAAATTACAATATGCTTGCCACCCCAGTCAGCAAGTACATCTCAGGAATCTTATAAATTGAAGTCAATAACTAATCATTCTTATATAAGGGAAGATATTTATTTTCAAAACCTGTTTGTCAAAGAAACTGCTGTGTGATATGAGGTTTGCTTTCCCGTGTAACACTTAGTGATGTATACTATACAATGTTATAAATCACAATCAAAAACTATCAAATGATTTTCATGAATATTAAATCATGTTTAGACTGCATTGAGGGTTATTTTCACTTTGCCTGAGACAATAATTTCACAGGACTACCTTTCAGTCTTCATTAATAATCACATAGGAGGTTCTGAATTACAAGAGTGAAACTGTACTGTATATATATAAAAAAAAAAAGAAAAAAAAAAAACAGGAACATAATATATATTCACAAAAAAAAAACTATATAACAGGCCCAAATACTGCTTTTAGTTTATTAATTTTGTTAATGTCCGAAATGCAAAACATTTAATTGAAGATTTATCAAACATAAATATCAAATATTCATATGGTGTAATACAAGAGGCACAAATACAACGCAAATGATAATCCTTGTGTCCATTTCACTCCATCTGCAAGCATCGGTGTCTTTAACTTATACCCTTTTATTCAGATTATCATACTTTATTTACGTATTTTAAGATTCATTTATAACCTTATTTAGAATTGTGCGCATTGTGCATTGCATTTCACACTTCCTTTCGATTCCAGCAGCTTGCTCATTTCAAGGTGTAACACCGGTAAGAAATGTTGCATTTCCAGTGCTGTTTTGATTCTGGGTTATTCTTAAGACTATACAGTGACAAAGAAGATAAAATAGACTTCAGTAACAATCCCAGTTTAATATCGGAGGCCATCAAGAGCTCCAAATGCCAAAAAAAATTATCAAATTCGAAGTATAGATAGAAAGAAGCAAACGTAAGTTTGACAGTTCCAGATATAAAGGTATTTGGTTTATTATTTTATGGTGTGAATGCAGCTCTATCTTGCCATACATAACGATGTGAAGTGACTGTGTCCCTGGGGGTGTTGGGAAGCAGAGTCCCTCATCAACCATAATGACGGCAACTTAAATTGTTTTATTAGGCTGTTTTATCGGTCAATACGTTTTCTGGGGGGGGGGGGGGTTTGGAACATGTGAATTCAATTGAGTTTTGCCGAAAGGTGGGTGGGGTTCCCGTAGTTTTTAAATTCTAGCACGTCAGTCATTACAATTTCAAACATGGCGGTTACGTCTGTAGAGTTTCATTGGCCAATTTTAAGATTTTTATGTGCTAGTTTTATGCATTTTTATCTAAGCCTGTTTTACCCCATAATTTCCCTGATATACTTCATGCCCTCCCCTGCTAACAGGGCAATCAAATCAAGATGGTACTCGATCTCCTGAATGATTCATTCGCACAAGATACAACACCAAGAATTGATGAAATCATTCGATTTCCTGCAGAAAAACAAAATTTTTTCGACTTAGTCTCTGGGAGGGTGTGTCACTCTGTAAGAAATACCAATAGAAGACTTTCCAAGACTTTAAGAGCATAAATGTGTAACAGTATACACTGATAATTAGCCAAATATTGTTTTGACATGCACATAATAACGCTGGTACTACTTAGGACAATGTGGTCAGCTTTCAGTGTTGTGTTTTCCTCGCAAGGTAAACAAGCTGATGGTCTTAGAATTTAAGAGCCAGACTGTTGAGTATTTCTCTTGCATGAAGAATATTACATTTTTTCATGCGTGGAAATCATCACTTTGTCTATATTTGCGCGGACGGATCTGCAGACGGATAATAAAACTAGTGCATGGAAAGGCCAAAGGATTTTATGCACGAAAGATGATATAGAAAAGAATTGAGAGTGCGCAGAAAGTTACCTGAAAACTACATTTGCGCGGAGAATTTGACCAAACTCTACAGTCTGGTTTGAGAGGCAAGTACGCATTATATTTTTCATGCTTCTATCCTGCCGTGAATACATGGTGGATATTTTGTTTCCTCGGTGGGGTTGGGGGGGTGGCAGCCCCCCAGGAGGGTCGCAGGGGCACAGCCCCCCAAGGGGAGTCGCAGGGGCACTGCCCCCCGCAATGGAAAGTCATGTGAATAACCATGATTATTTTTATTGTGGGTTATATTATTAGGGTAATTTTCTTAATTACATCCGCCGCACCGACATCGTCGCCCCTGCTATCAGGGCCAAGTTTGCCGCTAATAGGGGGTTTCCGTGCAATAAAACTTACATATTTGCATTGTACAGCGTGAGAGGAATCCAACGGTACCAAAATCGTCGATATCGGAGCGGCGAAGGTAATAGAAAATTACCTCAACTTGTACCAAATTACCCTTCAAAGACAAAAGTTTTTCGGTTCTCTCGGGAAACCTGGCCCCTTCCTTTCAAAACAAAACATATAAACAGGTTCTCTTCTCAACTTACCCAGTCCAAAAGATACGTAAATATTCCGAATATAACAAACACGATATCAAGCGTCCTATATATGTAATTATTGGGTGGTGCGTCCACTGTGTCGATAGTTGGGGAGAGATTTTCCCTCTCGTGAACTTTTCCTCCGTCCATGATTCTGTAAACAATTCCAATAGTGAAGCTGTGACGTCAAGACCTGTTGCCCAGCGTTCGAATCAAAGTTTATAGTCTTTGGTTAGAATTTAATCTGGGAATCATCGTCTTCTTTTTTTTCTTAAACATGATTAACACACAAATATAGAATTGCTTTAATTTGAGTAAAAGTAGATAGAACTCTGGTGGAGGTAAGAATTTTTTGAGAAAAAATATAAGCAAACTTGAATTTTATACGGTTGCCATGACAACAGATTTCCCTCAACATAAACAGTTGATAAACATGTGACTCTTGACTCCTCTGCCTCGGACTTCAGTGCGTATATTATTGAAAAATACAAGAAAATGAGTTTTGAACGGAAATTAGAAGAAATAAGGAAAAGACATACGGAACTGTAAGTATCGGACACGACCCACTTTATTGGAAACATTTTCACTTTTGAGTATCATATTATTTTGTTGCTTTTCATTAACACTTGTCGCACAGAAGGTTGCTAAACTGCGGTTAAATCACTGCCAGTGATGGTGAAGAAGAAGTGAAGGAAGCAGATTTATCGAGGTTACCAGATAAATCTGGGTTACCATCACACACACACACACACACACACACACACACACACACACACACACACACACACACACACACACACACACACACACACACACACACACACACACTCATTCACTCACTCACTCACTCACTCACTCACTCACTCACTCACTCACTCACTCACTCACTCGCTCGCTCGCTCGCTCACTCACTCACACACTCACTCACACACTTACATGTGTGTGTGTGTGTGTGTTTACGTACATATACATGTATGCATATGTGTATATATATATATGTATGTATATATGTGTGTATATATATATATATGTATATAATGTTCATATACATACATACATATATATATGTATGTATGTATACGTACATACATATATATGCATATATGCATATATTCATATATATATATATATATATATATAATATATATATATATGCATACATACATACATACATACATACATACATACATACATACATACATACATACATATATTATATATATATATATATATATATATATATATATATGTATATATATGTACATATGTGTGTGTGTGTGTGTGTGTATATATTATATATATATATATATATATATATATATTATATATATATATATATGTGTGTGTGTGTGTGTGTGTGTGTGTGTGTGTGTGTGTGTGTGTATATATATATATATATGTGTGTGTGTGTGTGTGTGTGTGTGTGTGTGTGTGTGTGTGTGTGTGTGTGTGTGTGTGTGTGTGTGTGTGTGTGTGTGTGTGTGTGTGTGTGTGTGATACGATTGGTGTACGCCCGAGAGCAGTACAGAATTCCATCTCGCAGGAGACACTGGAAGCCACAGATGCATGTCGTGCGGCTCGTCTGACAGGGGATCGGGAACTGCACCGTTCTCATGTGCGCAGAACTCGGTCCCTGTTAAGAAGGGACAAGGAACAGTTTATTAGGAGTCTTGCAGAGGAGGTAGAAGGCCATTTCTTAGTAAATGACCTTCGTCCTGCATACCAAGCCCTGAGAAAGCTGAAACCCAAGCCCTCTTCACAGGTGACAGCAGTTCGCTCAGTAAGTGGTCAGATCGTTTCAGATCCTGTTACGGTGCGGGAACGTTGGGCTGAGTACTTTGAGCAGTTGTACCAGGTTGACCCACCAACAGTTAACTTGGATGCCGGTAGTGTCGAGATCCCGCTGCCGGATCCACCCATGTGAGGACCCTCCCTCCCTAACTGAAGTTAGGGGGGCGATTTCCAAGCTGAAGAGTGGTAAAGCAGCAGGTATCTGCGGCATACCAGCTGAACTGTTAAAGGCTGGTGATGAACCTATGGCACGGGGGTTACATGCTGTCCTGGCTGCCATCTGGAGGTCCGGTACCGTTCCTCCTGACCTGTTGAGGGGTGTGGTCATCCCTCTCTGGAAGGGGAAGGGGGACCGTTGGGACTGCAGCAATCGCCGAGGCATCACACTGCTCGGTATACCAGGCAAGGTTCTCGCCCACATCCTTCTGAGACGTATGAGAGACCATCTACTGAGGCACCAGAGACTGAAGCAATCCGGATTCACTCCTGGTAAGTCCACAATAGACCGTATCCTCGCGCTTCGAGTCATTGTAGAGCGCCGCCGTGAGTTCGGGCGTGGGCTGCTTGCAGCCTACATCGACCTCAAGAAGGCGTTCGATACGGTGCATCGGGAGTCACTTTTGGAGATCCTGAGGCTGAGAGGAATACCAACAAGGATTATTGGACTAATAGCAAGCCTGTATACTGGTACTGAAAGTGCTGTAAAGTGTGGTGGGGGCCTGTCGAGCTTCTTTCCTGTTAGTTCAGGAGTGAGGCAAGGCTGTGTCCTTGCACCAACTCTTTTCAACACTTGCATGGACTGGATACTGGGCAGAGCTACTGTTCAAAGTCATTGTGGAGCAACTCTGGGCAATATCAAGGTTACAGACCTTGACTTTGCTGATGACGTTGCCATTCTATCTGAGTCTTTGGAAACCCTAGTGGCGGCTCTGGATGCATTTAGCAATGAAGCGAAACCCTTGGGTCTAGAGGTCTCCTGGACCAAGACCAAGGTCCAGGAATTTGGGGACTTGTTAGGAGAACCTGTTCAGTCGGTACGAGGACATTGAAGTCACAGAGAGCTTTACATACCTTGGTAGTGTAGTTCATAACTATGGGCTGTCAGACCATGAAGTCAGCAGACGGATTGACCTGGCAGCAGGGGTCATGAACTCTCTCGACAAGAATATTTGGAGATGTCGGTACCTGTGCAGAAGGACCAAGCTACGGGTTTTTCAGGCCCTGATAATACCAGTTTTGCTATACGGTAGCGAAACCTGGACATTGTCCTGTGCCTTGGAGGCTCGTCTTGAAGCCTTTTGTAATAGGTCCTTGCGCCGGATCATGAGGTACTGTTGGCGGAACCACGTGTCCAACCAGCGGTTGCACCGTGAGACTGGCTCAGGACCTATTATCTGCACAATCCGTGATCGCCAACTCAGGCTATACGGCCACCTGGCTTGCTTTCCTCAGGATGATCCTGCCCATCAGATCGTCTCTGTTCGAGACAACCCTGGGTGGAGGAGGCCTGTAGGACGACCGAGGAAGTCGTGGCCTGGGCAGATCGACCAAACCTGCCGTGAAGAATTAGAGATGGGCCGAATCCCTGCCTGGCGTTTAGCCATGAGGGATCCTCGTAGGTGGAAGCGAAGGGTGGATGCGGCTATGCGCCCCCGTCGGCGTCAGTCCCCTTGATGATGATGATATGTATATACATAAATATATATATATGTGTGTGTGTGTATATGTATATATATATATATATATATATATGTGTGTGTGTGTGTGTGTGTGTGTGTGTGTGTGTGTGTTTATGCGTATATGCACATAGACACAGAAACGAGTGCGCGCACACACACACACACACACACACACACACACACACACACACACACACACACACACACACACACACACACATACACACACACACACAAACACACACACACACACACACATACACACACACACACAACACACACACACACACACACACACACACACACACACACACACATAAACACACACACACACACACACACACACACACACACACACACACACACACACATATATATATATATATATATATATATATATATATATATATATATATATATATATATATGTATATATATATATATATATCTTTTGTGTATTAGGTGTTTTAACATTTCTATGAAATACAGTTAGTCGTTTTTTTCCTTTTATCACACTATTGTTGTAAATATGATCAGTCTGCAAGAAGCAAATGAATCATGCTTATTTCCTTTACTGCCGTTTCCCTTACGCAGTGCACATGGTTTGGCAATAAATGAATGTGACGAAATTGTTTTATTGTTTGGAATGTTGTGTTCATTATATCAAGCCAACCAGCTTAATGTTTATACATCTACCAATGTTTACACGTTAATAAGGAAATAATTAGTAATAAAAAGAAGATAATCGGAACCCATGGCGATACTGAGATAAACATTGGTTAGCATAATACTTACTGCTAACATACCAGTTCATACATTAACATAACAAACGTCAGAAAGAACTAGCTCAAGGGGCGTTTACGATTCGAAAAAAAAAAATGAATTGTGAAAAGTAAATTAAAGGAAATTCTTTTATCTGGGGATTTTAATAGCGCAATCGACTGGGAAATTTTTGACCCCGCGCAACCTAACGCGTGGAGTACAGAGCTACCAAAAGTCGTCGGTAGAATTAAATGTCTTTATCAAAATGTCACAAAATACATCGGGAAAAGAGGCACAGGCTTTCTTTTTTTAATCTAATATTCACAAGAAATGAGAATGGTATAACAGACTGAATACTGCCCTCCACTGGGGGAATTTGTCATGTTCCAATAAAATTATGTTGACCATCATGGAAAACACGGCGAAGGAATCGGAACGGAAAAAGGAGTTATTGTTGTGTTATACTTCTTTTATTGTAGTGTTATACTTTTTTTTTACCAGTATAGTTTACTCTGTCATGATCTCCGGTCTTATTTTGTTGCCCAAACCTGTTATATTAAAAAGGAGATGTGTGATCAGCTGGTCCCCTCATACGGGTTACTTAACACAGTAGAGCTCTTGGAGTCAGTCAGATATATATCAAAAGCAACAAATTTCACAAGCAAGTGGTACTTCAACCAAGGCCAACTCTGCACTGCAATTTTAAAGTGAGGCCGTGGAAGCTTAATAAAATTCATTGAAGAAATTATACCTACGTCAAAGAATTTGAGAATATGTTCATTTCAGCCGAAGCTAAAAAAAAAAAAAAAGGAAAGATTATATTTTCTTGTATTGTTATACTTGTGTGTGTGTATGCAGGAGAGGGAGAGAAATTAAGCATAAACAAGATAAAAGTGCAACCAGTAAGGATAAAATCACACTTCTTATTGAAGAAAAATGTAACGCGAGGACAGACCAATACAAGTGAGAGCGCCGGTTGATGTTTCTAATCTGATTCCTAAAGAGTGCACAGAACAGCTTACTCCTTCGTAATATTCCAGAAATTCAGCTACATTCACGACACACACATATCAGCTTAAATATGCTAATAAACTCAGTTATGTATGTGGTCGTGTACGCGTATCTGTATTTTGGAAATCCACATCATGCCTAAAATTCCGGAAAGCGCCCATCTGTTAAGATCTCGCGTACTCTTTCACCTCTACCAATTTTTGACGTAACTCATGCGCATGCACACTCGTGTATGTGGGTTGAAGGAATCATATGCATTAATAAACACACTGATGTACAAGCATGTATATGTCTGTGCATACCTACACCCCCTCCCCCCTCCCGCCAAACACAAACTCGCATCTGTAATACTACTGCACGCTTGCTTAAATCAAGGTTGCTTTATGGTGCTTTAATATAATCACGCATTGCTTGTGGTCCCGCATATGCCTGGAATCTTTTACAAAAAACAAACATTAATTTAGACTCAGATTTTAAAAAAGCAATTATTTTTCGTCCTCAGGGAGAGACGCCGAGAGACCATGCGAGCGGAGCAGAAGGCCGGAGGAACCCACTTGCCCGACCCCGATATAGCGAGGAACCGTAACGCTCGGCTAACTCTGGTGTGTATCTCTGTATCTGCTGACTAACCGCAGGCGTAATTTATTGATCTTTGTCGTATTTGTATATGTATGCATTTTTATCACGTGTTTGGATTTGAGAAAATACTTAGAGACCGAACGGATGTTTATATCCGGTTTGCGGTGGAGAGGTTAACGTGATCGCGAGCGCGTAGGCAAAAGTCATATGCATTTGTTTGTATGTTCGAGTCCTGATAACCTGCATGTAGGATTTCACTTAATGGAAATCCGTATTAACATAGAAATAATAGTTTCTCTCTTATTCTCAGGAGGTCCAAAAGGAGATGGCGAGATTACGAACTCTTTGGCCATCCCCATTGCTCTCTCAGCTGCACCAGATGCGCGATGATTACATGAATTCCTGATGTGTGCTAGTAATGTTCAAGTGACTATGATCTGAGCGAATATATTACTCTGATCCAATGATACACAACCCACAGTAAAGGGTTATTATGAGGTCAAAATGGCTTCGAAATTCTCATTAATTTCCTCTTTTAGGAAGGGTTATTGTGAGGCAAAATGGCTTCGAAATTCTCATTAATTTCCTTTTTTAGGAAGGGTTTCTACTTTAGTCTCATCTTTCCAGTAATGTGTACTATGTATAGTTTTTATCAGTAAAATACATATGTATAGATTCACAGCCTCATGTTGTTTGCCTTTTGTGTTTTTAAGGGGAATCTTCTCCAGCTGATTTCTTGAATACATTGTATATTTTTATGATATATTGTATGATTTTAAAAAAAATAAAATCAAGACAAAATGTTGAAATAAATCTAATTATGTTTTTTTCTGTTTCTTAGCTTTCATACTTCTTTTTTCACTTATGTTTTTTTTATCGTAAAGAGTTTTATCCCTTAAATTTAGGGTAATATTGCATGATCACGATTTTCCCTCAATACATGTCCTACATTCACATTCACTGAAAAGAGATAATTAAGGGCCGTATTAATTCATTTTTCTTGTGGGATGAAGGTCAGCTCTTTGTCAACAACATAGTCGCTTCCAAAATATAACCGACCCCTATATTATGTGTCTCAAAGAAAAGTTAAATGTAATATAATACATTAAATACGCAATTTGCCGAATTCGGAAATGAAAGACCGGTAACCGTTAGTCCTCAGTCATCATATTATATATTAAAGCTGATATAAGCACCAAAATCCTGACCACATCCACCTCACTTGTTTACAGAACGTTGAGAACTTGTGAACTTATTTTTTGTTCTCTCTCCCTTCTGTGGTGTTAATAGACGATACTATCAAGGGCCTTTTTGAAAAATAACGGTCCTATCTTGGGGTCGGGAATCTGGGGAATACTTGGATCCGGAGAAGTTTCTGAGGCAATTAGGGGTTTTCCGTGGAGCTCAAGGTCGGGGATACCTTAACTTCTTTCAAGCATTGGGGTAGGCTCGAGTGGATTTTAAATCCTGTTGTTTTCATTACTTTTATTATTACTATCATCAGCTTCATTTTTTTTTATATCATCGCGATGCTCGAGTGGGTTTTAACTATTGTTGTTTTTATTACTTTTATTATTACTATCTTTATTTTTATCATCGAATTCTTGAGTGGGTTTTAAATATTGTTTTTATTACTTTTATCATTACTATCATCATTTCTATCGTCACGATGGTTATTATTATTATCATTATTACTATTATTGTTTTTTTATTACCATCTAACGATCTTATTTCTTTATTTATATTTTTATAAGGCGATGGTGGACGCGAAAGATAGATAATATTTGGATGAATGCAAAATGTCGAAATATGATTGATATATTTTACTAATCCTCGCCTCCCTCTCTGCTTGTTTGTCATTATTATTAATTTGTTCTTGTTCTTTTGTTGTTATTACTATTATTATTACTATTATCATTGTTATTATCATTATTATTATTATCATTATTGTTGTTTTTGCTGTTGTTATTATTATTATCTTCAACATCATCATTGTCATTATGATTATTATTATTATCATTATTATTACTGTTGTTATTGTTATTATTATCATAATTATCACGCTTATTATCTTTATTATTACTATTATTCCTTACAGTAATATCATTAGAATTATAATGGTGATGGTAATGATAAAGAGGCAACAGAAATATTGTATTATTATCATTACCGACATCACCATTATCACTATTATTATCATCGTTATTATTATCATCATTATAGGGTTATAGTTACTACTATTACTGTCGCTATTGGCATCATTAGTATCAATATTATTATGATTGTAATTACCATCACCGATCCGACGTCTTGTCAGCAGTCATCACTAATTTATATAGTGCTGACAGGCAAGTGATAACTACTAAAATAAAGATTAGAAAATAAGAAATGCATAAATGGAAATAAAGTTATTGTTATCGATGGAAATGTAAGGCAAGAATAATGATTGTAAAAAAAAAAATCGGTATAAAAAAAAATAAACCGTTGGATGACTTAGATGAATTGAGAGAAACAAAGTAGGAGAGTAAATTTAAGGTGAATGAGTAATAGGAAAATAGATAATAATAGCTATAAAGGTAATGGTAACATTTTAAAAACAAACCATAGCAACAATGATAATAAAGTTGTCAATAATGATGCCAATAGTGATAGTAATAGTAATATTTATAATCCTATAATGATGATAATGATAGTGATAGTGATAATGATGATATCAGTAATGATAATAAAAGAATAATTCTATTACCATTTATTATTAGTATCATTATGATTTTAATAATGTTATTTTAAGGAATAATAGTAATGATAATGATAATAAGCATGATAATGATGATCATAATGGTAATGATGATAATAATAATGACAATGATGATGATGCTGAAGATAATAGTAATGACAATAATAATAATAATAATAATGATAATAATAATAATAATAATAATAATAATAATAATGATAATAATAATAATGATGATTGATGATGATGATGATAATAATAATAATAATAATAATAATAAGGATAATGATAATAATAAAAAGATTAATGATAATACTGATAATAATAACGATACTAATAAGAACAACAACAATAATAACAATAATGAAGATAACGAAAAAAAAAAATAATAATAATGATAAACAGCAGAAGCAACAATAACATGATAATAATATAAATAATGATAATGAGGATAATGATTATGGCGATAATAATATTCTTATTATGATGATAACAATGATGACGATAATAGTTAAATGAATAGTAATAATGATAATGATAGTAATGATAATAACGATAATTATAAAATTAATAGTAATATTTGTGATGATGATAATCATAACGTTGATGATAATGATAATAATAACACTGATTGTGATAAAGGGAATGTTAATAATAGTAATAATAATAACTATAACCCTAACAACAACAATAATGGAAATGATGATAATGGAAATGATAATTAGCAAGTAATTGTGATAATTATCATCATTATGAACAATGATGATAGAGGAGATATAACGATGATGATATTAATGATGATGATAGTGATGATAATGTGAATGTGAATGTGAATCGTAATCATGATAATAGCAATAATAATAATAATGATAGCAATAATAATAATAATGACATTGACGACGACAACAATAATCGCAATAACGATAATGTCAGTAATAAAAAAGATGATTATAATGATGATGATAATAATGATAATAGCAATAAAAATTACAATATTAATGATGATAATAATAATGATGACAATAATGATAATAAGAATAATGATGAAAATAATGGAAATAATAATAATGATGACAGTAATAATAATAACAATAATGATGATAGTAATAATAGTAATTATGATTATAAATGATGATAAAAACAATACTGATAATGATGATAATAATAACAATGATAAAAATAGTGACAATAATGATCATAATAATAGAAATAATAAAAATAACAATCACTATATTAATAACAGTAACAACAGCCTTTATGATAAGGAGAGTTACCATATTTTTCCTTCTTTTTTCTAAAATAAATATCCAACACATATATTGCTCTGGGTCAGTCACCTCCGCTGCAACGATCAGATTAAAAAGAAAGAAAAAAAAAAAACTTGAAATTCGCGAAGGAAACGAAGACACGACAGTAAGGTCGTTGTCACAGTGCCACGAGAAGGGGGGGGGGGAGGAGGAGGAGGGGGAAGGGGGAGAATCGGGGTCTGACGCAACAGATGGTGGTGCCACAGGTACGTATTCTGTCAGCTGGAATTCCCCCCTGCCCCCCCCCCACCCCACCCCAACCCGGCCTACAGGATGGCTTGGGTTGGGTCGCTTTCTGCTTTAGTTCTCGTCCAGACTTCAGTGACATCGGGACGGTCTTTGGGGTTCGGCAAGTGAGTGGAGAAATCGGTTGTGTTGAGTGTGTGGTGGCCATTTTATCATTTGCTTTTGTTTTTTAATTTCTGTTCGTTTTTTCCCAGTTTTCTTTGTCTTTGTCTTTTCTTTGTTCAGTATTCTTAAATTTCCCTATTTCGTTCTCTATTTTATTATATGTTTTTTTTCTATTTTTTCTTTTTTTTATTATTATTATTCTTAAATTTCCCAGTTTCGTTTTCAATTTTACTATATGCTTTTTTATTTCTGTTCTTTTTCAATTTTTCTTTGTTCCTTTTTCTTATATTTCCCAGTTTCGTTCTCTATTTTATTATATGCTTTTTTATATCGATTCTTTTTCAGTTTTCTTTGTCTGTTCATTTTTCTTAAATTTCCTAGTTTCGTTCTCTATTCTACTATTTGTTTTTTTATTTTTTCAAATTTCTAATCTTTTTCAGTTTTCTTTGCTTGTTCGTTATTCTTAAATTTCCCAGTTTCGTTCTCTATTTTATTACATGCTTTTTTATTTTGATTCTTTTTCAGTTTTCTTTGTCTTCATTTTTCTTAATTTTTCCAGTTTCGTGGCTAACAGATGGGTTTGTTTATTAATTTATTTGTTTATTAGTTTGTTTATTATTAGATTGTTAGTAAGTTCCTTTTATTGTGAATTTTCGGGACTTTATAGCCCCCGACCAACTCTGTAGCCCCGCCCCGACCAACTCTGTAGCCCCGACCAACTCTGTAGCCCCCGACCAACTCTGTAGCCCCCGACCAATTCTGTAGCCCCCGACCAACTCTGTAGCCCCGACCAATTCTGCAGCCCCGACCAACTCTGTACCGACCTCTGTAGCCCCCGACTCTGTAACCAATTCTGTAGCCCCCACCAATTCTGTAGCCCCCGACCAACTCTGCAGCCCCCGAACAATTCTATAGCCCCCGACCAACTCTGTAGCCCCCGACCAACTCTGTAGCCCCCGACCAACTCTGTCTGTACCACCGACCAATTCTGTAGCCACCGACCACTCTGTAGCCCCCGACCAAATTCTGTAGCCCCGACCAATTCTGTAGCCCCCGACCAACTCTGTAGCCCCCGACCAATCTGTAGCCCCCGACCAACTCTGTAGCCCCCGATCTGTAGCCACCGACCAAACTCTGTAGCCTCCGACCAATTCTGTGACCAATTCTGTAGCCCCGACCAATTCTGTTCTGTCCTCTGTAGCCCCCGACCAATTCTGTAGCCCCGACCAACTCTGTAGCCCCCGACCAATTCTGTAGCCCGACCAATTCTGTTCTGTAGCCACCGACCAATTCTGCAGCCCCCGACCAACTCTGTAGCCCCCGACTAACTCTGAAGCCCCCGACCAATTCTGTAGCCCCCGACCAATTCTGTAGCCCCCGACCAATTCTGTAGCCCCCGACCAACTCTGCAGCCCCCGAACAATTCTGTAGCCTCCGACCAATTCTGTAGCCCCGACCAATTCTGTAGCCCCGAACAATTCTGTAGCCCTCGACCAATTCTGTAGCCCCCGACCAATTCTGTAGCCCCGAACAACTCTGTAGGCCCCGACCAATTCTGTAGCCCCGACCAACTCTGTAGCCCCCGACCAATTCTGAAGCCCTCGAACAATTCTGTAGCCCCCGACCAATTCTGTAGCCCTCGACCAATATATAATAATTGTCAGTTGTCAGTTGCTATAGGACAAGAAAACTTGATTTACTGATATGTGAGAGATGATTATAAGAAGGTACTGCAGGTGAGATTAAATTAAACATTTTCCTATTGTTCCATGGTTCCCCAGAAAGTACCCCATGGAACCCTTGCTTTTAAGATGATATTTTGCTAATTCTTTTCCCAACTGCGTCCATATTCAGCAATGTTGATGGATGTGACAGGTAGATTTGGTAAATGATTAGGCACAATGTTAAAGACAATCAAATTAAACAAAATCTCGTGTCATTGTACGGTGTGGATATGGACAAAACCTCAACCGAATATTTTGAACGATTTTCTCCTTTTCGTCGTGAGTTTACTATAATATATGTACGTAGTTGTGGCCTTGTAAATGCAGTATCTTATCGTACGCCATAACACGCGATATTTTCATTCGAGAACGATCCAACTTACGCTCGTTGTCGTACCAGAGGCAGTAGGAATGTGCACCTTATGATACAACGTCATAAGGGCTTTAAAACGGAAAATAACGTTTAAGATAGAACGAGCGAGTGAGAGAGAGAGAGGGGGGGGGAGAGGGAGAGGAGAGGGAGAGGAGAGGGAGAGAGGGAGAGAGAGAGAGAGAAGAGAGAGAAGAGAGAGAGAGAGAGAGGAGAGAGAGAGAGAGAGAGAGAGAGAGAGAGAGAGAGAGAGAGAGAGAGAGAGAGAGAGAGAGGAGAGAGAGAGAGAGAGAGAGAGAGAGAGAGAGAGAGAGAGAGAGAAAGAGAGAGAGAGAGAGAGGAGAGAGAGAGAGAGAGAGAGAGAGAGAGAGAGAGAGAGAGAGAGAGAGAGAGAGAGAGAGAGAGAGAGAGAGACCCTGGTTAAAGATAAGACCATGCATATAAAAAGCAAACTCCATAGAAAGCCATCCAGTAGTAGCAAGAATATGTCTTTGTAATAATAATAATGATTTAGGGTTTATTGTGACAGGCTCTTGGGACAACAGTCAAATTGTAGCTTGTTTGTTTATTGTGCTTCTAAACTACCCACGGTGTGCGAAGAATGGCCGGGGTTAATAGTGCGTTAATAGGTAATAGTTAATATCTAATAGGCAGTTAATATTTAATAGTTAATAGTTAGTGCGCGGGGATCGAACGCGGGTCAGTAAGATTGCTAGTCGAGAGCGCTACCACGGCACCACGGAATCACTGCAGTTTAATAATGTCACGAAAAGCGTTTGATTAATCGCTCAACTTTTCTTTTTTTTTCTGTCGGAATCACTGCAGTTTGAAATCCTCACGAAAAACGTTTGATTAATCGAAGTCCTCACGAAAAACGTTTGATTAATCGAAGTCCTCACGAAAAACGTTTGATTAATCGAAGTCCTCACGAAAACGTTTGATTAATCGAAGTCCTCACGAAAAACGTTTGATTAATCGAAGTCCTCACGAAAAACGTTTGATTAATCGAAGTCCTCACGAAAAACGTTTGATTTATCGAAGTCCTCACGAAAAGCGTTTGATTAATCGCTTAACTTTGCTTTTTTTCTGTCGGAATCACTGCAGTTTGGAAACCTCACGAAAAACGTTTCATTAATCGCTCAACTTTACTTTTTTCTGTATCCCAAAGTCATAGGTTTTGTATATATCATTGGCTGACGTTTTCTAAACCCCAGAGCCAATCTTTTTTTTATTAATTCCAGAGCCATATATCTTTATATATCAGAGTCTTTATATATATCTTTATATATCAGAGTCTTTATATATATCTTTATATATCAGATATCTTTAAATATCAGAGCCTTGCGGTATCTGTATCCGGGAACCATATTTTTTTTTCTCGCTTCTTGAGCCACACGTTTTTTTTTTCATTTTTTTTTTTTTTTTTTAACGCCAGAGCCATGGGTTTTAAATCCCAGAGCCTTGCATTTATTTTTTAAAATCCCAGAATCATAAT